GTGCAAATTTAAAGCAGGCCGGTTAAAGCAGACATGAAAACAATACAAAGGATGGCATTAGTCTGAGTGTTGTTTTCTGCACACGTAATTATATGCCTGGTTCCGGCAAAAAAAAAATAATCATTCATTCTTTAGTTTGTCTAGGTTTAGGTAAGCACCATTCTATTTATGAATAAAGGGTGCACCGAAAGGCTCCGCAAATTCTCGATTCATGGCATATCCTACAATTCTTTTCTCATACGCGGCTATTTTATGGGAAACATCAGCTCATGTCGCTGCCGCAGTGTTATTCAACGAAACAGACCCGAGTGCTTCTATTTTCATAGACCCGGCGAAGATTGAGCGATGGTGGCCACTTCAAGCTGCCAGCTCAAAATCCGTCAATTTGGTGTTGTTTTGACATGTCTGTGTTATGATTTTCTTAAGGAACATGCACTTAAATGGGTGTTGTCCAAAATCGCCACCAACCTTACTTGATCCGTTAAAAAAGGGCACTCCTTAACCTTATCAGACCTGGGACTATACCGGTCAATGACCATTTTATTATTATTATACTTGCAAATAAATGGGAAACTGTGAGACACTAGAAGAGACAGAACGGTCCAATATGAGGTTCCAATCCACCAGAGCCGCTTTCGAAGAATTTTTGTATAGCTCACAACGTTCTTCCCTAATAGATATTTCACGTATCAGAATTCAAGAAAGTTATTAAAACTGCCGTTTCTAAATACGAAAAATTTTTGAGACCTCCATTAAAAATGACGAGGAAATACATATAATATCTGAACCAACAAAATATATCCACTATGGCCAGCTGACTGTTAGTTGGTCCGTTCTGATATCTCATGATTTCTTACGCGCAGCAAAACTTGCAACCGACCACAGTGCTTTCAATCAAAGCAGTAGGTAGTATACCTCGTCCGAAATCTTAGTGCTTTGCTAAATATGTAGACAAAAGCCAAGTTATTTTCTAACAAACCCCTGGTTTTCCTATCAAAGAATGTATCTGTCAACTCAGTACTAGGGGTTATTGGGCTTTGAAAACAGATGCAGCTAGACTACTTTCCACTCGGAACCTCACGTTCCATCGAAATATAACCCATACTTGATTTCAACAATTTCTCGATCTTAAAGAAAAAGTTGCCTTCACTGGGCTTCGTGGCATATACTAGACTATTCCGCTTTATGGTTTGTCTTAACCTACCGCAGCCAAAACACTTCATTGCCTATACAACTGAAACAACAGGTATTAGACCTCAACTTAAACACTTGCAGATTATCGACTGTAAGATGACATTCAAAGAGCACTTAAAATAATGAAATAGCAGAATCGCATAAACCAACGTACTTGCATTTTCACATGATACACAGAATATTCCTACAAGACAGACAAGGAGATGTCTCTATTTGTCCTCCGTTTCCGGTTGAGATGGAAAAAGCTTAGAATGTGCATTTCACTGCTCTGGTACTCACGATGGGAAAGAGCCCTTAAGCAGAGAACTAGGATGGACCCATATATGTAATACTCCTATATTGGCAGTAAGAGCTAGTACCGTCCGAAAACACTACAGTACAGATATATCAATAAACACGTACGAAAGAAAAGGAACACATACGTTTATAAATAAACATGTACACAACACATATACAAAAACGGCACTCAAGTACACAATACATTGACAAAAACGGTACTAGACTATCTCGCTTTGATTTCGGAATGCTTACACATTGAGAAGATAGCTTACTGCCAATATAGAAGTATTACATATATGGATGGACCCCTCTTACTGGACGTAATTGAAGGCGATGAATGAAATAGCGCCTTTAATCGCACCCAAAAAGTAGACGATTTGGTGATTCGGATAAACTTACATTTCCTCTGAGAGGATAGCATCATTCTATACTGAATTCCTAGATATAACTAATGGTACGAAAACACCAAAGAATAGCTAAATAGACAGAATAGGACTTTAGGGAAAAATTTTTGTCATTCTTTTACTAATTTCGTATTTCTTCATTTGCATCGATTACGTTAAAATCGTCTCGCTTACATTTAAGCCGTCTAAAATGAATCGTTCATGCTGTCTATCGTTCGAGGTAAATAATAAATAAGGCTATAAACCTCTCCTACTCCAGGATTGAGGAAAAATCTAGAGTTAACATGAAGTCCAGTACCTGAAACCACTACAGTTCTTTGCCTTTCTTCATATAAGGATTTCATTAGCTTAGGTAAAGTTAGACTAAGGTGGTTCGCCCTTGTCAAGGAGCTCACTGAGCACCGCAACTGCTAGCATCAGGCGAGAATCGGTTGGTGCCGAGAGATTTCGCAGGTAGATTGCTCCATCGGGTCAGTTTGAAAGTATGATCCCAGGTGCCTAATCCGCAATCTAGCAAAATATGGGCAGTCTAAGAGGAAGTATAGAGATGACTCCACCTTGTGGTTCTACATGCAACCGCGAGAGACGGAGTCCACTATGATCTTTAATCTCACTGCCTGAATCTCAATCGGCCAGTGACCTGCAGGCACACGCACCAGAATTGAGAGTTGTGGCTTCCCGATCCGAAGGATATCCTTAGGGTTCATTTGCCGCACCATTAGCTCATCGCAATTGGAACAAAAAGGAGACCAGTTTGCTTTGAATGAAGGATTATTTATATCTATTAATGCAGTCTGGAATCATTCCGATAAATTTATTGATACTCCCTTGACATATATGTAAATATCCAAAACGTACGCACATTCTTAAACAATCAGCTTTTGCACCAGTCTCGCTCAAATCTGATTAGGCACAAATAATAGCGACACAATCAAAAATCAAAATGCGCCCACCATAATGAAGCACAGAACCGAATGCGCGCCACCAAACTGTATGCAACAAATGCAAAAGAGCAAACACACTCGCACACATACATAGACATGCATGGTTGAGTAAAATCTATGACTCTCACTCCCTTGTGGTATGCAAAATCGGCTAAATAAAATCTGATAATCACCAATACATTAACAGCAACAACAATAACATGAGCTGCAACAACACCATAAATTCAGTCACGCACAAATAACCACTTTTTGCAAGCGCGACAAACGCATAATGAGCAATTTTGCAAAATATAACTTGCACCATAGGTCAGTCAAATACATACGAATATATACGAAAAAAAATTATGTCTGCCCTAGCCGGAAGCTGTTTATATCAGTTAGATATGCGCTGATTTTGAAGGTTGCGGCCAGTTGGAATTTACATTGAATTAGACGCATGTGAATAATGAGTTTATTTTAACTGTATACAGTTGTGGTTTGCGTGCATGAAGTCACATGCACACACACACACACGTACTACTCATGCATATGTAAGTAGTATGTAGGCCTAAATTTATATACAGATGTTTGAGTTCGCTTGATTTGTGGCTTTTGCCTGCAAACCCAACATTTGGTAACATTTGAATTTATGTGACTTTATGCTGATTTCTCGCCGATAAGTACATATAGTGTACAGCGGCAACAACAATGTCAGCAGCAAACATTACGGGGCCGATTAAGCCTCTGGCTAACAACAAACAGTAATGATAATGCATAGAATATTCATCGACAAAATTCGAATGCAAATACGCGACTTCATAGATAGATAAGTATGTAAATGCGAATGTATACATATATAGATATGTAGATAATTATGTGCGCTGGCATTAAATTGCGAAAGCATGTAATAAAGCAAAATTCCATTGACCACTGCAACCACATTTCACTCTAAAAATGTGGTTGGTTGTCGGCGGTAAATTTTGTGGACTGTGAACTGTACAGTTTCGTTGTTGGTCAGAATGGTGGTGAACATTCGCAGCGAAAAAATCTGTAAATAATTACAACTGAGTCTCGAAATGATAAGCTGGGCATGCGTAGCGTGAATAAAGAGCATCAACGCCTAAAAGTGGGCTTAACGCTGGAAGTTGAAATGCGTAATATTATCAGCGGATATTTAGAAAAGCTTTGAGGATATTTTTGGCAGATTTTTATTTGATTGGTATGCTATACTATTCAATTCATAATTTTTTTATTAAAAAAATTTAGTTTCAAGTATTTACGGCGAAATTTTGGCATTCAAAAAAATTAGAAAGATTAAATTTTTTTTCATCCAATTTTTATAAATCTTTTGCAACAAAAAATTTATTTGAGTTTGGACCATTAATGCTTATCTATTCTTTCAACTATTATAGTATTTTTCAGAATTTTAAATTTACACATGCTTGATGGCAAGTAATGCATGAGAAATATTTACGCAATTAAATTTTTTCCTTTAATTTTTGAAATGTCTAAAAGTGTAAAATTAAGATTTTTTATTGCAAATTTTTTTAAACTTGTATTCTTTATAGAAAAATTCAAAATTTTTCCTAATTTTTTTTCCAGAGAAAAAAATATATAAGATTTAAAAATATTTACCTAAATTCCCTTAAATTATCTGAAATTTTTTTTTAAATTAAAGAGGTTGAAACAAACTGCTTTTACAAAAATTTCTGAACAAAAATCTAAACTTGTTCAAGTTGAAAACCTAATTTTGTAGATTCGCATTGCTTTTTTAACGAAATAGAATTTTTAGCATTTATAAAAGAAATATGCTTCTTTGTTTATTCAGAAATAAATTAAAAACAAACCCAAAAATAAAAATCAAAATGTAAACATAAATAAAAAGGAAAAAGAAAATAAATAAATAAGTAGTAGAAGTGGCTACAAAAAATACTAAGTTTTAAAGAGTTTTTGAGCAAAAATATTTTGTACTTACTAACGTATTTATTTGTCTACATTTTTCAATGGTTTGGTTTTAATGTTTTGCAATAAATTTTAAAAGAACTTATAAATGTATCATTTTTCTAATATACATCTAAATTTTTTTTTGTGGAGTCGAATATTAAAATATAAAAGGGGTATGTAAGCAACAGCAAGCAACTACCACTACTAATTGTGTGATTTAAATGTGCGTAATTTCATAAAATTGGTTCTCACTTACCCCTGTTAAGGCCGTTTTATCATTGAGCACAGCTGCTTGTGGCGTTGTTGGCGAATTTGCAGCCGTTGTTGTGCTCTCCGGGCTAAAGTAAGTTAAAAAGGCACAACCTGCAAATAAAAAAAAAAATGGAATGAAATTTTTGATAGTAAAAAAATCAAAATTACAAAGGCAACATATAAAATTCTGTCAAAAACTAGGCAAATTGTAATAGTACACACCTCTTAAAAAGGATAACGGTACGTATGGTTCTGAAATAATTAGACTTGGTAAAGTAAATATATGCGATTTTACATAATAATATTCTATGTACATATATCACAGTTAGTATATGGATTTGGCTCTATAGTGTCAGGTAGAAAATAACTAAAGGGTCATCGAGTCTACTTAGACTACAATCTGTGTCATCCTTGACAACACGGAACCTTTCGATTACACTTCCAGTGAATCTATATCGAGACCATTTGTCCAAAAAGGCATAGGTATGTACTACTATTTGTAGTTAGAGTATCGCTTGGCTACGTCCTTTGCCAATCTTTCGTGACCAACTGGTCTATGAAATGCGTTCAAATGTATGGGTATTTTCTACCCTACTTTAGTTCCTTGTAGTAAACGATCACTTAGCCAGACTATGGAAAGGGCGACGACGTTGAATATGCAGGCATGATTTTTAAAATATAGAAAAAATCTCAGACGTTAAGAGCACAGTTCTTCACTTGACAACACGCCGTCAAATATCCTGACGTAGTCAAATATATTGTAACTGCCTTGGAACTTTCTTCCAAATAAGACTCCGAATAAAATAACACGGTTTGTGGGACAGGTTCGGTGCTCCAGTGATAGGTTTAAGGTAAGCTGTGGTGACTTTTCCGAAAATAGCTTCTTGGGAACTGTTAGCCCTTAAGATAAAATTAGAGCAATACTTTATTTTTATAGCCAGGCAATACTTTAAGCTGTAGCATCTATTCAAACCAGCCCTAAGCCAATTAAAATATGGAGCTGAGCAAGGTGGAGCAACAAATTGAATGAAAAAGTGGATGGATTACCTAAAGTAGAAGTTTGTTTGGATGAATATCCTCCCAAACAACAACAAATTTAAATCCATATTATCTTTCAGAAACAAGCGGCGGAGAAATATTAAGAGACCAAGACATTTAAGACTATAGCAGAACAACTTCAAAGGATCTGCTAAGTAATAGATCACGGGCAGCTATCACAGCGCATCCCTAGCGCTCCAACAGCCTAACTGATTTTGGCCGAGGTCAACAAATGCCAAATGATGCCAAGTTCTTCTCCACTTGGTCTTTCCATAGCAGTGGGAATCTCCCTCTTCCTCTACTACCACTAGTGGGTTCCGAGTTGAATACCTTCAGAGCTGAAACGTCGTTGAGTTGAGCTATATTCATATCGTTGTAACGTCCATACAGCTCATCGTGTCATCGTCCGCGGTACTCGCAGTCGCCAACGCGTAAATGCCCGCAAATACTCCAAGAGCTGCCTCATCAGGTGTTGTCATTGCCCATGCTTCTGCGCCCTATAACAGAACGGGCATGATGAATGACTTATAGAGTATGGTTTTCGTACATCGATAGAGGACTTTACTCATGAAATTCCTGCTCAGTCGTAAATAGCACTTGTTGACAAGAGTGATTCTGCGCTCGATTTAGATTCGAACAGTGTTATCGGTATTAAAGCTGGTTCCTAAGTTAAAGAATTTCTCCACGTTCTCGAAAATATAACTTGCAACAGCGACGTGGGTGCCAAGATGCTAATGCGCTGACTGTTTGTTTGATAACAGGAGATACTTCGTCTTGTCCACGTTTACCGCCAGAACCAATCACCTTTTTTATCTTATCCAACTTGGAAAAGGCAGAACAAACTTCGCGGTTCTTCTCACCGAGCAGTTCAGTTCTGCAGCTCTTATTATCTTCTCCAACATCAGATTAATGAAATCGCATAAAAGGAGTCGCCCTGTCTGAAACCCCGTTTGGTAGCGATCGGCTCGGCGAGGTATTTTCCACCTCCGACGGCGGTATTGCTCAACGTCATTTTACACAGCCGTATCACTTATTCAGGTACACCAAATTCAGATATCGCGGCGTATATGCAACTCCCTTTAAAGCTGTCGAAAGCGACTTTGGGGTGACAAATAGTTGGTGAGTGTCGATCTTTTCTCGCAGATCTTTTCAAAGATTTGGCGTATTGTGAATACTTCGTCTATGGGTAATTTTCCAGGACTAAATCCACACAATCAGCTTGTTGACGGTGGGCTTCAGTATTTCACACTCGACAAGACCTTGTAACCTATGCTTAGAAGGGTGATCCTGCGGTAGTTGGCGCGTATGGCAGGGTTGCCTTTCTTTTGGATTGGGCAGAACATACTTCCATGGGTTGATCTGGCCGTATTCTGCATTAGAGTTGATGCGTGCATCTCATCAGCTCCTCACGGCCGTACTTGAATAGCTCAGCTGGTTGTCAGCTCAAGTAGCAAATCGACTCTGTCATGATGGACTTGGTGTCCGGGTTCGTCTTCCCAGCAGCTTTCAGTGCTGCCACCACTCAGTAGGGTGAAAAAGTGATTCCTCCATAATTTAACCCTAGAACACACACCCGGGTACAAATGTATCCACTTTCATCTTTGAAGTGTTGTAACTTTTGAACCGCTATACCTCTATACCGGATCTAGGAAGATTATTTAGTTTTGAGTTCAAATTCAAAATTTGAACCAGATCGGACCATTGGTTCAGGAGCTACAGCCTTCCAAACACATTATATACGTAAACACACACCGGGGATACGTTTGTACCCCAATAGTAAAAATCCTCATAATAATAAAAAAAAAACATTTTTTATATTATTTTTTTATTTGAAAAATTAAAAATATTCATTTCACACATTATATTATTGACTTTTATTATAAAAATTATAAAAATGCATCTTATATCTAAGGAAAATCATGGCAAATAGAGCAATTTGTTGATGTGACCGAATGTTCAAGACACATTGGCTTCTTACATTTGTCGCACAGCTTTCTGGTTTTTCTACGGCGTTTTTCCTCTTGTGCGTAACATAAATAGCAAGATCCGGACACAGGTTTTGGCGTGCGCGCTGCGGCAGATGTTGATGCTGCTGTTGACACCATTGATTCCACCGGTCGGTTGAAATATGCTTCAATAGCAATTTTAGTCGAAAAATTTCGCGTCACTTGACGATTTATGGCTCTGGCTTCAATAATGGGCATACACAATGCTTCAGCCAAGCTGCGCAGGATCTGCTTACGCTTGTTGTTTGTTCTCTAAGGCAACATAGGGTTATTCATATCGTAGACAATGTAGGCTGCAAGAGCTGTAATGTCCAACATGTTGAAGAACATCGCTAGTGGCCATCGTTTTGTTTGTCTTTGTGTTGGATATTCCGCAAACATTTGGTCCATTCGATCAACACCACCTTTGGTACGATTATAATATTCAATTATTTCAGGTTTCCCACTGTCAGCTATTTCAGCATCATTATGCATGGTCGAAAGCAAAATTACTGCTTTATTTTTTTGGGAACATAAGAGCACATTGTCACATTATTTTTGAAGCCAAATGTCGTTGAACCAATTGTCCTGTTTTTGTTCTGCTTCATTTCTTGAGGAATATATGATTTGTTTTTGCGCTAAGTTCCAACGATCGTGAGTTTCCAGGTGAGAAGCAGTTCTGCAACTGGCAAGGTCGTAAACAAATTGTGCATTGTAATGTTTCGGCCACTTCCTTGGTATTTGGCAGACAAATCCTTCACCACTCGTTCGCCTTGGTTCGTTTCCCTACCAGTTTCTGCTTGGCCAGTATATATTTGTCCATGCAGTGGATATGCATTTGTGGCATCGCAAATCCACCAAACCTTGATACCATATTTAGCAGGTTTTGACGGTATGTACTGCGTAAACCGCGTGCGTCCACGGTAAGGAAATAATTGTTCATCAATCGTCAAGCATGAGCTGGGCTTGTAATGTGCAGCAAGATTATTGTTCATCATCGTCCACAACTCACTGATCGGTGCTGCTTTATCAGTTAGTAAGCGTGTTGCACGAGTGTTTTTATCGTCAAATCTTAGGAACCGCAATATCGAACAGAAACGGTTCACTCCCATTGTGGCGCGATATAAAGGATAGTTTTTGACGCTCCATAAATCTCGAACATGTTCTCCATTGCTATGGTTCGCACCAGTCATAATAAGTATGCCAAAAAATGCATACAGCTCTGTTATTGACACAGGCGTCCATGACTTAGGAGTTGTGTTTGGATGCGCATTGTTGTAAGCATTATAAGTTTCTTTTGCTAACTTATTTGTGTGGCGCATAATTATATCAGCCATTTCAACGTTCATGAAACATGTGAATGTTTGCTCTATTGACAACATTTCAGTGCATCTAGCTGGTCCAGAACGTTCTCTTATAATATTTTGTCTGAGTACCTGACGACTTACATTTGGTTCTTTCATCCACTCAGTACCATCACGTGCAACAAATTTTTCGGCACTAGCAGGTAATTCATTATTTTCTTCTACTTCTTCTTCTTCATCATCCTCATAGTCCGCATAATCAGGTAATACTTCTGCGGCACTTTGCGAAACTTCAGCATCGTCATCAGCAATTTCAATGTCATTGATTTGAATTTCTTCTTCATCTTCTGAGTCAAAGTCATAGGGAGCGTCATCGTCACAAATTTCATCAAATAAAGATTGTATATATAATTCTCGCTGTTCCTCCGTTAGCCTGCATAATAAAAAAAAATTAGTATATGTTTACATTGAAAATATCAACAGGCAGCATTTATAACAACACCTCGTGTGAAAACAACCCTTGCAGCTGCATATAAAATACCAAAACCAGTTATACCAGTGTATTTGCTACCTATGTACCCATACCTTGCGCGACCTTTTTGCACATATCTTTTGAACCAGGTAGAATATTTCAATGAAATAAAAACAAAAATGTGTATTCGTTGTTACTCTACAAGTATATTATTATAAATTATATTATTTTGTTTTGCATTTATCAGGACAACAACAAAAACAAAAATCCACTGTTGCATGTCCTGACTTTATTTGCCCATATCGCTGGAAC